GTTTAAAGTCATATTTGATATATGAGACTTACTTGTTTTCTCTCTATAATTTTTTTTTTCTCACATATCCCTGACCAACAAAGCTTTGATACCTCTTGTTGAAATTTTTTTCGGGAAAAAAAATTTAAATTTTTATTAACTTCACTCTCTCCACATTTAACAACTTAAAATACTTTTAAATAGACTTACATTGAATTGAAATTTCTTAAAAATAATCTATCATAATTTAAAAGATAAATATAAATTAAATTTATTAAAAAATAAACTTCAACTAATAATATAATTTTTTTTAAAATAAATATATTTTAAATCTAATTAAAAATAAATATTATTTGAATTCAAACTAATAAATAAAATAAATTATAATTTTTACATTTATTTTCAACACTATTAAATGTCATTTTCTTAATATTATATATATATATATATATACTTATCTATCATCTCTCCCTTTTCCTATATTAATTTCTCTCTTCAATTTCTTAATATTTTCCCAATTGAAATCTCCATATATCTAATGATAAAGAGTAAGTTTAAATATCTCAAAAATACAAATTAATTATGGTTTGAAAGGATTCAGGTTGTAAGAGGGAATCATCTCTGCAAGTGGAGTACAAATGTTCCAACTATGGCCGAGATACTTCATCGAGATAAAGCTCCAGTCAAAATGGATTGGTTCCAGGATCAATGACAACACTATAATCACAACAACACTAACCCACTGGTAGCCCAAACAGATTCTACTAACCTACCGGTAGAACATGGCAGCATCATTGGCTCCGGCAACTACATCGTTTCTGTTGGACTTGGAAGTCCGACCAAATATTTATTGCTGGAATTACACATCCGAAGCGATCTGACCTGGACCCAATGCAAACCTTGTGCTTCTTGTTATCACCAGAAAGATCCAATTTTTTTGTCTTTATCCTGCAAAGCTACTTGTTTAGTTACTTCTGAAACTCTTCTGATGGGTTTTGCTATTTACATACTCAAATTTTTTCATTGACCGATAATGCTAAAGAGAAGGAAAAAACTTTTTATAACTCTACTTTATGACAAAATGCTCTTATCGAAGTTAAAGATACTCTTAAGAAGAAGAGTAATAGGACTGCAGTAATAAAAACTTGAGTATGTAAATAGCAAAACCCATCAGAGGTGTTTCAGAAGTATCTAAATGAAGCAGCTTTGCAGGATAAAAACACAAAAAATTGAATCCTTCTGGTGATAGCAAGAAGCACAAGGTTTGCATTGCATCCAGGTCAGATTGCTTCCGGTGTGTAATTCAAGCGATAAATATTTGATCGAATTTTCGAGTCCAATGGAAACTACGTAGTTGCTAGAGCCAATAATACTGCCATATTCTACCGGCAGGCTAGCAGAATCTGTTTGGGCTACCAGTAGGTTAGTGTTGTTGTGATTATAAGTACTACTATTGATCTTAGAAAGAATCCATTTTGACTTGCCCAAGATCAGCTTCTTCTTCAGCGGCAGTGTAGAGGTGAAGATTGCACAGATGGGGATCTTGCATCTCGTTAAGCCTGAATCTTCACAAGTGTATCTAACGTTTACTTATACCTGAAAAGTTAGTAAACAAGATAATTTTTAGTACTGGAATTGTAACATCTCATTTATTGTTTATGATTTAGTTAAAATAAGAATTTTAAAAAAGAAATTATCTACTTTTTCTCTATTTTTTTTTTCATTTTCAAGAAAAAAGTAAAAATTATAGAACTTAGCCACAAAAGATTTGGTGTGTTGTTCTATTGGTCTAGTTTGTCTGTAATCCTTATGTTGTTTGTATGGTTGTTTTTGAAGCCCAGGAAAATTCCCATAGTTAATTGAGAATTTTTATCAGAACATCACGTTTGGGAATGAAAACTGTATTAGTTTGATTGTGCCCTTTCAATAGGAACCCAGATTTGAGAACGTTTTGGACGAAGTTAATAACTTGGGTAGTTGATGAAATGCTAAAGGTGTTTGATAGAATAAGAGTCCTGATGCTCTGATAGGCCAAAACTTGTTTATTGTTGCATGAATTTCTTGTAATTGCTGATGTTAAAAGTTAAAATCTCTAGCTATTAACTGTTGGAAGCAAAAGCTTGATGTTTTTGTGTTTGTAATTTCAAAACAGAGAGAGAATAATACAACAATTTAAATATGAATGTGTGGGTCTGCAGTAGAAAAAAGAGAGCAAAAAAATGTAGAGGAAATGTAGAGAAAAAATGCAAAAGAGAATACAGCAGAGTGAGAGACAGCTTCTGAAAAAGTGAACTATATATATTGTAGTTCATTCGCCTTACATATATATAGCATTTTTAAGGGAAGATATTTTGTTACATCAAATACAAGCTGTCAGCAAAAAGTCAAGTAAAATACATCATTTTGTTAACCAAAACAAGCAAGAGTTGCTGATTTTCTTGCTTCAAAACATGCTTTCCCATTCCATTCAACTACCACTTACTAACTAAAGCAGAATAAAGAAAAAATAATCATAATTTCCTGACTTCAGCAATCACTGTTCAAGAAAAACTCAACTGCTAACACTTCTCTTGAGTTTTCTTTTGAACAATCCAAGTTTGGTTCTCTAAGTCTTAAACCGTTCCCTTGGCAAAGCTTTAGTTAGGACGTCAGCAAGTTTTTCCTCTGATTTGCAATGCTCTAAATGGATCTCTTGGTTCTTCTCAGCTTTGTGCAAAAAATGAAACTTTAACTTTTATATGCTTAATCCTACCATGTTGCAAGAGAATCTCTCCAAGATCTAATATAACAAATTATTTCATCATCAATTATTTAAACTGCTGCACTATCTGCTTGAAGCCATACGATTTCTTCTTATACTTATATACCATGTCAGTCTTTCCATCAACTACAAACCCCTGAAGTTGTTCAATGAAAATCTCCTCCTGCATAGCAAGCTGCTACTCCTTGTACGTCATAAGATCTTCATAGTTTGTTGGTTTAATTATGGTCAAATTGTACCTTTCATAATCCTCTGCTAATAACTTAGTTTTTGTGTCTAGTGTGTTTGCAGTTGGATCATCAAATTCTGCAGAATGAAGTTGAACTTTTTCAACAGTAACACTTTGGGAACTTGAAGCTACAACAACTAAATCTTCTATGAGCTTTTTTACTTCAACTTGTTTTTTATTCCAATTCTGAAATGTTGATTCATCAACAAGCACATCCCTACTCTTTTGCATAAACTTTGAAGAGTCAACATCATCATGGGTAAATCTTTTGTACTACAAACAAGTTAAATCATCCTTGGCAACAAAAACATGTTGATTTACATATTTCAGACCAAACACATAGTTAGACCAAACACATAGTTATTCTCATTTTTCTTGATATTTGTTACTAGTATATTTGTATGATCACAAATAAGGCAGTAATCATTTTTGAACAAAATGGAATAACCCTTATTCTGCATTTGAACAACACTTAACAAATTTTGCTCTAAACCGGTAATAAAGAGCACATCGGTTATAAGTTTAATACCTCGCTTAGTTTGAATTAGTATTGAGTTTTTTCCTTGAGCTTCCATAACTGTCCTATTGCCAAGTTTCACTTTAGTTTTGCAATTAACATCCAAGTTGTTGAACAACATACGATCCTTGGCTATATGGCTTGTGCACCCACTGTCATCATATCAGAAATCACTTTCACTCACACAAGATGTCTCAGTTATCATGAAAAGATAACTTTTCTGCTGTTCATGGTTCTCAGTAAAATAGACTTCCTGTTGCTCAAGTGGTTGCTGCTGTTGTTGAGGTTTATTCTTTTGCTGTGATGCTTTACTTTTTCTCTTCCAACACACCTTCTCTAAATGACCATACTTTTTGTAAATCTTGCATACATACTTTCAACACTAACTCTTAGGATGATTGGATTTACCACAACTTCCATAAGGGGAATACTTTCTTTTTTCTGATGAATCTTCTGAACTCTGTGACTGCTTCCCTTTAATTATTGAGGATTGACCTTTATCTTTTGAAGTTAAGATCTCAAATTTGTAACTCTACCTTACTTGAAAAGCATTTTCAGTAATCTCATCATTTCTGATTGAAAACTGTTGTTTTATTTGAAGTTGAAAGAAACAGAGAAAGAAGAAGATGCAGAGCTTAAACTTTATATTGATGAAAAACTATTTATTTGATCAGCAGTAGTACATTTAAATAGCAAAAATAGAGAATAAAAACGTGATTCTAGGAGAAATCTACAAACTAGGAGCCATATTATCAACATCCTCAAGACTAGGTCTGCTTTATTGATTGAGTCCAACAAAGAAAAAAGTCACGTGCAGTTCAAAAACACATTTTAACACTCCTCCTTGCTTTTGGAACTGCAAACACCAATTCTTTGCCTTAGAAGCTCGAACTTACTGATGGGAAGAGGCTTTGTGAACAAGTCTGCTAGCTGATCTTCAGACTTGCAATAAATTAGTGTCACTTCTCTATTTTGCTGCACCTCTCTCAAAAAATAGAGCTTGATGTTGAAATGCTTGGTTTTCCCATGAAACACTGGATTGTTTGAGATTGCAATGGCTGCTTGGTTGTCAACAAAAACTTTAGTGTTTTATTTTTGCTCCATGTTTAAATCACACAAGATTTTTTTTAGCCATAAAACTTGATTTACAGCAGCTGTTGCTGCTATAAATTCAATTTCTGCAGTAGATTGTGCTATAATCTTTTATTTCTTGGAACACCATGAGAAAGTCCTTGAGCCTAGATTGAAACAATATCCTGAAGTGCTTTTCATATCATCAACTGATCCAGCCTAATCACTATCCGAAAAACCACACAGCTTGAAATTTTTACATCTTTTAAACTTAACTCCATGATCAATAGTACCTTAGACATACCTTAATATTCTTTTTGCTGCAATTAAATGCATTTCACTAGGGCAATGCATAAATCGGGATAAGAGACTTACAACAAATAGAATGTCAGGCCTTGTTGCAGTGAGGTACATCAGACATCCAATCAAACTCCTGTAATAACTTTTCTCAAATTTATCAGCTCCATCTTCCTTACTTAGTTTCTCCTTTTGATTCATTGGTGTGCTTACTGCCTTGCATTCTTCCATCTTAAACTTCTTTAGGATTTCCTTTGTATATTTTTTTTTACCAATGAACACTTTTTTCCTTGTCTGATCTCCATTCCAAGAAAATAGGTCATGAGACCAAGATCTATCATTTCAAAAACCTGCATCATCTCCTTTTTGAACTCTTCAGCTAGCTTTGTATTATTTCCTGTCACCAGAAGATCATCAACATATAGGGACACAATGAGTGTGTCATTATCTTTATGTTTCACATAAAGAGTGGCCTCAGATAAGCTTTTAACAAAACCAAGACTTGCTCTACATATCTCCTCCTGCAAGAAGTCATTTAAAAAGGCTGATTTGACATCCAGCTAAAATACTTTCCATCCCATTTGTGCTGATAATGCAAGCAGCAACCTGATTGTATCTAGCCTTGCCACAGGAGCAAAGGTGTCAGAATAATCAACACCGTATATTTGAGCATACCCTTTAATGACGAGTCTGGCCTTATGTTTGTTGATAGAGCTGTCTGCATTCAGCTTTGTTCTGAACACCCATTTGACGCCAACGACCTTTCTTCCTTCAGGTCTTTTAATCAACTCCCAAGTTTTATTTTTTGTAATCATAAACAGCTCCTCCTCCATTGTTTTCTTCCATGTTGAATCCTGTACTGCTTCTTCACGATCATCAAGTTCACAAATTGCCACATTACATCTCACATAGATGTCTGAAATTGACCTTGTACCTCTAACTGGAAGATCATCTTCCAGCTCTTCTTGCCATGAATCTGCTAGGTTCTCTTTAGTAACAACACTTCTTGGTTCTTTTGAATAGCTATCTTTCTCTTGCAAATTTTTCCAATCCCATTGTTCATCCTCATTAAAGTGTGCATCCCTACTGATTGTCATTTTTTCTGTTTGAGGATGATACACCTTGTCAGCTTTAGAAACTGAACTATAACCCACAAAGATGCCTTGAATTGTTTTTTGGTAAAGCTTGTCACATTTTACCTATGACACATGAACAAAACATACACAGCCAAATACTTTAAGAAAATTTAGTGAAGGCTTATACCCATACCGAGCTTCAAACGGAGTTTTATCTTCTAAAGATTTGGTTAGAAGTCGATTTTGCAAAAATACTGCTGTATTGGCTGTCTCTGCCTAAAACTTTTTTGGTAACTCTTTCTCATGCAACGTACATCTGGCCATCTCCATTACCGATTTGTTCCTTCTTTTGCTAAACTCCATTCTGTTCTAGAGTGTATGGGACAGTAAGTTGATGTTCAATGCCAGCTTCTTCGCAAAATAAATTAAACTCTACTGAAGTATATTCCTTTTCATTATCTAACCTCAACGCTTGAATCTTACAGCCACTTTGATTTTCTACCATTTTCTTGAAATTCAAAAATACACCGACAACTTCTGATTTGAATTTCAAGAAAAAAATCCAGCACATTATTATGAAATCATCAATGAAAATAATGTAGTAAAGACTACCTTGTAACAATGGCATTTTTTGAGGTCCAGCAACATCCGTATGAATAAGCTGTAGTTTTTTGGAAGCTCTCTAAGTTGATTTTAAAAATGGCAACCTATTCTGTCTACCATATTGGCAGGCAGTACAATCTGGCAAAATAATTGTCAAGCTCTGGTAGTCCCCTTGTCAAGTCACTTTTCTACAATCTTAACATCCTTTGAAGATGACAATGGCCAAGCCTCATATGCCAAATTTCTGTGTTGCTAGCTTTGGTGAAATAAGCTATCGGCAACTCCGTAGGTTCATATGAAAAGCTTTTACCTCCCATTTTAACCCTTAAAATTTTTTTCCGAGATGCATCAAAAACAAGGCAATGGAAATCTTCAAAGGATACCTTAAATCCTTTTTTTAACAACTGATTAACACTCAATAGATTTTGATGAATTTCAGGTACATAAAGGACATCAAAAATTATTTTTGTACCTGAGCTGGTTGTAATTGCAACAGTTCCAGTCCCTTTTGCAGGTAGATAGCCTCCGTTGCCTATTTTGATCTTCTTGATTTTTGAGGGCCTTAAATCTTTGAAGAGAGTTTTATCAAAAGTCATGTGGTTTGGACAACCACTGTCAATCAGCCAACCTTCTGAAGAACTTTTAGTTGAAAAACATGTCACCACAAACATCCTATCTTTTTCTTCATCAGCAACTTGAGCAGCTTCATCTTGGTTCTGGAATTTATTATTGCGAACCACAGCTTTATGTCCATCCTGACCACATTTGCTACATTTGGCATCTGGCCTTCTCCAATATTTGAAAGGTGGATGGCCTATTTTACCGTAGTGCTGACAAGGTGGGTAGTTCTTTTTCGAATTTCTACCATTGTTGCGATTCTGGTTGTTTGCAGAACCTTCGGAAGATGTCGCTTGTGTTTTTTTGTCAGTATTCTTCTTGGTTTTTTCAGCCATCAGGTGCTTGGCTGGCAGAGCTCCTTCAACAACACTTTCTTGCCTCATTAACCTCCTCTGATCTTGAGCTTGCAAAGCATTTAGTAGCTCTACCAAAGTGATTTTGGAAAATTCCTTTGTATTTTCCAAGGTGGTAATGGTAGCTTCATATCTTTCTGGCATAGTTACAAGAATTTTTTGAACAATTCTTGAATCTAGAAATTGAGTGCCAAGTAACCTTACCTTGTTTACAATGCCCAATAATCTGTCTGAGTATTCTTTGATTTACTAAGAATCTTTTATCCTCTGCAGTTCAAATTCGCTCAATAAATTCAGCACCTGCATGCCTCGAATCTTTTCATCTCCTTCGTATTCTTCTTTGAGATAATCCCAAATCTCTTTTGCAGATTTAAGAGACATGATCCTTGTGAAGATATTTGCTAAAACAGCCACAAAGAGAGTTGCCTTTGCCTTGGATTTCTTGGTCTTCTTTTCCTTGTGATTTTTCATTTGGGCTACGGTAGGATTGTTTGACAGCGGAGCGACTTCGTAATCTTCTTCCACGGCCTCTCAAAGATCCAAAGCCTCAAGGTAAGCCATCATTCTCACGGCCCAGAGTTGATAATTCTCACCATCAAATACTGGAGGAGCAATGTTGGAATAGCTGGTTTCACTCTCCATCGTAATCATAGATCCCTTAAGAAGAGAGCTCTGATACCAATTTGTTGTTCTATTTGAAGTTGAAAGAAACAGAGGAAGAAGAAGATGCAGAGCTTAAACTTCATGTTGATGAAAAACTATTTATTTGATCAGCAGTAGTACATTTAAATAGCAAAAATTGAGGATAAAAACGTGATCTTAGGATAAAGCTACAAACCAGCAACCATATTATCAACATCCTAAAGACTAAGTCTGCTTTATTGACTGAGTCCAACAAAGAAAAAAATCACATGCATTTCAAAAACACGTTCTAACAAAAACCTCTTCTCCTGAGCCTGTAGTTTACTATAAGTTCAACAACAGTTAAGTTTCTCAAGATCGCTTGTTTCTTCTATCATAGACAACTTTGATTCAAACTTTCAGGGATACTAAATATTATTTTTTCAACCACTCTCTGATATTTGAATTCTTCTCCAAGCAGCCTGATTTGATTAACAAGATTCATAACTCTTGTAGAATACTCTCTAATACTCTCTCCTTTCAGCATTCTCAATAACTCAAACTCTATTTTCAGAGTCAACAATTTTACTATTCTTACTTTAGCACTCGTAGCATATTCTTCCCTCAAATAATCCCAAGATTTTTTGGCTGTCTTGAAAGCCATCAGCCTTGAAATATGTCATCAGAAACTGTAAAATGAAGAATTAAAAGAGCTTTGAAATTCCTCATGGACCCTTCTGTATCTTGCCTAATCTGTAGTAAAGTGAGATTTCAGGTAATGAAACTCTTACATACTCCTCCTCCACAACGCTCCACAGATCATAAGCAAGAAGATAGACTTCTATTCTCATTGCCCAATAATCATAGTTCTCCCCTGTAAATATTGGTGGAGCTAACAAGTTGACATTTGAAGCCATTTGAATTACTCACAACTCAAGGCCCTTAAAGAATACTGTTCTGATACCACTATTGGAAGAAAAAGCTTGTTGTTTTTGTGTTTGTAATTTCAAAACAGAGAGAGAATAATACATCAATTTAAATATGAATGTGCGGGTCTCCAGTGAGAAAAAAGAGCGCAAAAAAATGTAGAGAAAATGTAGAGAAAAAATGCAAAAGAGAATACAGCAAAGTGAGAGACAACTTATGGAAAAGTGAACTATATATATTGTAGTTCATGAGCCTTACATATATATAGCATTTTTAAGGGAAGATGTTTTGCTATAGCAAATATAAGCGGTTAGAAAAAAGTCAAGTAAATCACATCATTTTGTTAACCAAAACAAGCAAGAGTAGCTGATTTTCTTGCTTCAAAACATGCTTCCCCATTCCTTTCAACTACCACTTACTGACTAAAGCAGAATAAAGAAAAAATAATCATAATTTCCTGACTTCAGCAATCATTGTTCAAGAAAAATTCAACTGCTAACATTAACCAAGGAAGAGATTGACTTTCACCAATTATTTCTAACAGATCTAAAATGCTTTTTTTTTTGTTTAAAGTAAAGGGGACGATATATTCTAAAGAGTAGCCATTCTGTTGTTCCTGTATTTCCACCCTGAAAGAATATTAATATAATATTATAAATTATTATAATATACTAAAGAACTAATGCAATGAATAATATAATTATTCGAGGTACCTTAATAACATGTCGAAAGTGTACATCTTTATTGAAAGTAAAATATTTGGGAAATGATACTTATTTATATGATAAATTAAGATCAATGGGAACACAAAAAATTTATAACATGAAATAATAAAAATAAGGTCCCCAAAAATATTTGAAGTACTCTAGAATGGCATGTAAGCATAAATAATTTTAACGCATGGAAACAATTCAGTAACTTGCCTAGTTATTTATATGAGGTACTCTAGAAAATTTAAGATTCATGTAAAAGAAAAGCACAATGTATTGATTCAATCACCGAATGAGACTTATGAAATTACTAAATTAATTTGGTCAAAAGTACCCAAGAAAAATAAAACAAAAAAAAAGAGTTATAAAAATACTAACTCAATTCAACTTCTTAAATTATTTGAGGTTTTCAAAAATTTTCTCTTTCTTTAGAATCATAGAGTGCATGAGTTCATGAGTTAAGCCAGTTATCTTGAATATATCTATTTTTGATAAAAACTAATTAGTGTGGAGAGATCATCTTATTTATTAGGACTTGTAGTCGGTTAGATAGAATTTTGGCTATAATTTTTGAACTTACAATACATAATGAGATAGGTCTATATCGATGTAGAAGGTTAGAACATAGATTTCTGGGAATTAATGTAATATTTATTTGATTAAATGCTCTTAGAAAGATACACAAAACAAGAAAAGGATTGAACATATGCTATGATGTCTAATCTGAGTGGGTTCTACTATGCTTTATTGAAGGAAGCCACATGTCATCAGAACTGGGAACTTTATGGGATCCTATGCATTGTAAGGCTTAGAGATTGCACTAAGTTGTTCATTTTCTAGTTGAGTGAGAATTTTATGATAAAGGGATAAGAGAAAATGTGCTCGGGTGGGTTGTGAGAAGGTTTAAAGATATTTATAGTATGATTTGAAGCACATATGTACTGCAAGTTGGTCAATTAGTTCTTTACCTTATCATTTGTATCATCAAGATATATTTTTTACTCTTTCTAATTGTGGCTTTGTCACACTTAGTGACACATGGCAAAATTTCGCAAAAATTATCATTTACAATAGATATAAAATGAGTAGTCACACTCTGCAGTGGTATCTTCAGTATTTAGAGGGTGATAGGGGGGTGAGATAGAATATCCTAATAAGCAATATTATGAAATTACAATATAATACATGCAATATATAGTTTCTTTACACACAACAAAACATATATCATATAATATTTTCAAAACAGATACGAATCAGAAGACGAATGCACAACTCAAAAAATAAATTCATGTTGTATACCTTATCACTTTTATAGAGGATAAATAAGTTACCATACATTATGCATAGGTACAGATATTTATCATTAGTTCTCCATGTACCTGAACACATAACGACATACATGAGTATCTTGAAACACTGTTACTCCTCGAACACAAAAAAGTTAGGCACACATATCAGACTCTTTCCCTATACACCTGAACACAGAACGGTTATGTGCGGATACACACTTATCACTTTGCCAATACACCCAAACACAAAACGGTTATATACAGGCATATTGAACCCTAGCATAATGTAGGTGCTTTGGGAATAATTTCTTTTTATAATAAGTGATGCACACATATCAAAATTACATATAAAAAACACAAAGCAAAATAATACTTTTATCAAAGTAAAACTTTAACAAATAGTTACTTAATAAATACGGAAGACAAATTAAACACTTGTACATTTTTATACTAAAAATACGTAAAATACTTTAAAACTACATAAGCTATGAATCCATAATATCCACTACCTTAGGTCTTTAACAGTCGTAGTCTTAAATTCGTGAGAGTTCCAGCTTTATTTATGATTTTTTCCTCTAAATAATCTGACAAAGTTTCGGGATGATTTTTGGTCATTTTCTTGACTCAAAAATATCCAACATAATACTCAAAAACTAATCCCAAAAATTAAAAAGAAAACGAACTTCAAAACTTAAAAAAATATTTACCTTTCTAACGATATATAACCTCCTTTTGACTGTGAACCTTCTTCCTCTTATGTTCCTATTCCTCTACTCTCACAAATTTAATAAAATTTTTCAAAGGTTTTTATTTAAAACCTCACAATACTCTTAGAAATCACACACTCCGTACTCTTTCTTCTTCCTTCACCTTTATGATTTTCACTATTTTTCTCTCATCCGGAGTGTCTCTTCCTCACTTCTCCTATCACCTATTTATAGGAGTAGGGAGCCATGAGAGAAAGGTTGCTACCATTCCGTCATACCATTTTATTTAAAAGTTGCCAACTTTCATCATATCACTTTATCTAAAAAGTTATAACTTTTTACATGTCGTTTTATCTAAAAGATTTTTTCACATGCTACTTTATCTAAAAGTTGTCACTTTTTATGATGTCACTTCATCTAAAAGTTACCACTTTTCACACATCACTTCATCTAAAAGTTGTCACTTTTTGTTATATCATGTAATCTAATGTTATAACTTTTCATTATACCACTTCATTTAAAAAGTTTCCACATTTTTTCATGCCTCTTCATGCTGATTCTAGCTCCTTCATCTTTATCTATCATTTTTCAGTTTGAATCTAAACTATATCCTTAATCTTATTATATATTTCCAAACACATATAAAAACTAAATTAAATATATCAAATATAAGAAATTAACTCGGAAGTATTTTTAAGCTATCACATTTTTCCCCCTTAAAAAAAAAAAAAAATTGGTCCTCCAAATTGGACTTACTAGTAGTCATAAAAAGATGCAGGTATTTGGTCTTCATTTCTTCTTCTAGCTCTCATGTGGCTTCTTCAGTCGAATGATGCTGCCATAGTACCTTTACTAAGGAGATTACTTTGGACTGTAATATCTTTTCTTTCTGATCCACTATCTGCACATAAAGCTCAATATAGGATAGGTTGTCTTGAAGTGCAAAGGGTTCATATCAGTGTAGATGTGATTGATCTAGCTTATATTTCTTCAGCATCAACACATGAAAGACATTGTGTATGGTGGCCAACTCAGGTGGCAATGCCAAACGATAAGCGACAACTCCCACTCTATCCAATACCTCAAAAAGTTTAATAAATCTAGGACTGAGTTTTCATTTCTTTTCAAATCTCATGATCTCTTTGATTGATGAGATTTTCAAAAATACATGATCGCCTATTTTGAATTCTAAATCTCTTATCTGATTGTCGACATAACTTTTCTGCCTACTTTAAGTTGTCAGAAGATGTTTCCTAATCAATTTCACCTTCTCTGTAGTTTCTTTAACCAATTCAGGTCCAACCAGTTTTTGTTCCCCAACGTTTTCCCAACAAATAGTTAATCTGTAAGGTCTTCCGTACAAAGCCTCATAGGGTGCCATTTGAATACTAGACTGATAGCTTTTGCTATATACGAACTCAATAAGAGGTAAATGATCATCCCAATTACCTTGTAACTCAATGATGCATGTTCGTAACATATCTTCTAGAGTTTGGATTGTCCATTCTGATTGACCATCTGTTTAAGGATGGAAAGTCGTACTAAAGGATAGCCTGATCCCTATAGTATTCTGTAGACTGGTCCAAAATCTTAAAA